ATTTCTTCTCGTTTCCAATAATAAGCATAGACTGTCCTTGCTGCGATCATCATATATAAAACATTTCAGTATATATTTTAAATAGTCTTATATTTGACTCTTTTTGGCTTTCATAAGATCTCACATCATTGCTCCTTTGCAGAATTGGTTGTGTCATAGTGATGTTTCATCTCCCTCTGCCTTGTAGACATTGATATCCGCATTGCACTGATCAAGGAGAGCAACGGATTGGTCACCGTCCAGAGCACCCTTTTGGCTCAAGTGACCAAAGAAGACCGCAGCGCTCTCTTCCACTGCCAAGTGGATTACAATCTGGCCGGGACCAATAAGACTTTCAAGTCGGAGAGTTTCCAAATCAACATTCACTGTGAGTCTGGAATACGCAGAAGAGGGGAGGGAGGGATCGCGTTTTGCTTGGAGATGCCGACACCATTTATGGTACAGGGTCACATTCAGTGGAGTTGTGTTCCCAAATGACAGTTCTAAATTGGGTCCATATCTGATGTCGGCTGGGTTCAGTGCCCTTTGTATAAATGTGAACTACAACTCCCATATGTGAAGGGTAATCACCCTCAAACCCTACCTGTATGCACAGTTGGCCAAATTGGGTCTGTGTGCCAAGTTTGGTCCATGATCTGACGTTGGCTGAGTTCAGTGCTCTCTGGATAAGGGTGAACTACAATTCCCATATGCGAAAGGCAGTCATCCCCAAACCCTTCCTGTATGCACAGTTGGCCAAGTTGGGTCTGTGTGCCAAGTTTGGTCCGGATCAGATGTCGGCTGGGTTCAATGCTTTCTGGATAAGGGTGAACTACAACTCCCTTATGCGAAGGGCAATCTCCCCCAAACCCCACCTAGTTGCACAGCTGACCAAGTTTGGTCCAGATCCGACGTCGACTGGGTTCAATGCTCTCTGAATAAGGTTGGACTACAACTCCCCAGGTCAATCACCCCCAAAGCCTGCTGGTAAGCACAGTTGGCCAAGTTGGGTCTGTGTGCAAAGTTTGGTTCAGATCTGACGTCGGCTGGGTTCAGTGCTCTCTGGATAAGGGTGAACTATAACTCCCAGATCCAAGGTCAACCACCTCCAACCCTGCCTGTATCCATAGTTGGCCAAGTTGGTTTTGTGTGCCAAGTTTGGTCCATGATCTGACGTTGGCTGGGTTCAGTGCTCTCTGGATAAGGTTGAACTACAACTCCCATATGTGAAGGGTAATCTCCCCCAAACCCCACCTGGTTGCACAGCTGGCCAAGTTGGGTCTGTGTGCCAAGTTTGGTCCATGATCTGATATGGGCTGGGTTCCGTGTACTACAAGTCCCATATGTGAAGGGCAGTCATCCCCAAACACTATTTGTATGCACAGTTGGCCATATTGGGTGTGTGTGCCATGTTTGGTCCGGATCCAACGTCAGCTGGGTTCAATGCTCTCTGGATAAGGGTGAACTACAATTCCCAGATCCAAGGTCAATCTCCTCCAAACCCAGCCTGTATGCACAGCTGACCATGTTGGGTCTGTGTGCCAAGTTTGGTCCAAATCCAGTGTTGGCTGGATTCAATGCTCTCTGGATAAGGGTGAACTACAACTCCCAGATCCAAGGTCAACCAAGGTTCTGTTTGTTCCACAGACCCTTCTGAGAACATCAGTCTTGTGATGGAGGCCCGGAGCCCAGTGGTGAAGGAGGGCGACAACGTGACGTTGCGTTGCGAAGCGGATGGCAACCCGGCACCAGAGTACACCTTCTCCAGATTCAAGGTGAAGATGTGGGGCACTGGAAGCGCATATGTTGTGGTGTTCATGCTCCGGATGGTGTTACTAAGCCTTTCTTCCCCTTTCGCTGCCTTCCGCACTGCAGGAGGGGAACGAAGAAGACCTCCCTCACGTTCTGGGTGGAAAGTTGTCCTTCCTCGACATCAGCCGGAACGAAAGCGGCATCTACATGTGCAAAACCTTCGACTTGCAGACCTTTCAGGAGCTGAACGCAACTGTGAACCTGTTTGTGAACTGTGAGTTACATTTGGGAGTGTAACTGGTGCTGGGAACTGTAGTCCTGGGTGCTGTTGTGGTGACTACAGTTCCCAGCATGCTTACATGTCAGCTGGATTGTATATAAGGTCCCCTCCTTTTCCAGAGGAATCCTAGGCTAAATCCATGAGTTTGTGGACTTATTTGGCTCCTTTGCTTTATACGAGGGTTGAATGAAAAGTAATGCCTCCACCTGCGTAACTCCTCAACAGATGGCAGTACTGGTATGCGGCAGGTACTGGCTTGTTCAGTAGACTCTCCTCTACAGTTCCATTTTGGCGGGAAGCCTTAGCATTGAACGGTTGTGTTGTTAAAGTGCGAAGTATGGAACCCTGCGCAGATGGTCAGTCAATGCGACTTAAGCAATGTGCAGTCATTGAATTCTTGACAGCAGAAGGTGTCATCCCAAAGAAGATTCATCAGAGAATGCAAGCTGTTTATGGTGATGGTGTTGATGTGAGTACTGTGCGTCATTGGGTGAGTAAGTTTAAAGATGTTGAGGTGATACCTTCTGCTGTCAAGAATTCAATGTTGACTCTAAGCTGGAATGCATCCAGAGGAGGGTGACTAAAATGATCAGGGGTCTGGAGAACAAGCCCTATGAGGAGCGGCTTAAAGAGCCGGGCATGTTTAGCCTGAAGAAGAGAAGGCTGAGAGGAGACATGATAGCCATGTATAAATGCGTGAGGAGAAGTCATAGGAAGGAGGGAGGGAGCAAGCTTGTTTTCTGCTGCCCTGGAGAATAGGACACGGAACAATGGCTTCAAACTATTAGAAAGGAGATTCCATCTGAACATTAGGAAGAACTTCCTGAGCTATTCAGCAATGGAACTCTCTGCCCTGGAGTGTGGAGGTGGCTCCTTCTTTGGAGGCTTTTAAGCAGAGGTTGGATGGCCATCTGTCAGGGATGTTTTGAATGTGATTTCTCTTGGCAGAATGGGGCTGGATTCGATGGCCCATGAGGTCTCTCCCAACTCTGATTCTATAAGTTACTATAAAAAGCAACCCCAGAAGCTTCTGAGATGTCTACACACATGTGTGTGAACAAGAGCATGGTTTGACCACGCAAGGAGATGTAGTGACCTGTGGGCAACCTGTTCTTTACAAAGACGGTGGTGATGTGATGGGATCTTGTCTCCAGTGCCTCAGGTTTGACCATGCAAGGAGTGACCTGTGGGCAACCTGTTCTTTGCAAAGATGGTGGTGATGTGATGAGATCTTGTCTCCATTGCCTCCATTGCCTCCATTTCTCTCCTTTAGACCTGGACGTGCCCACCATCGCGGCTGCCACCTTGAAGCAGCGCAAGCACCAGTGGGAATGGGACCCCTCCAAGCTCAAGCACCTCTCGGAAGGGGACAGCGTGCTCCTGACCTGCACCGCAGCCGGGTCCCAGCCTGTGGAGTATCAGTGGGAAAAGGTATGAGTGACTTTGGGTACTTCCAGACAGAGATCTCAAAAGATGGCTAATAAAAAGGCATTGTGGGTGCAAGGAGCGCTGCCACCTCCAATCTTTGCTCCTGTTATGCCTAGTTATATTATTTGTGAACCACTCCTGTTGCACTTGCAGTAATATCTGGCTGTTGATTTATGTATGGCATCCTTGTATTGCATCTGTAATGCTGTGAATTGCAGAATTCATTCATCTGCATTGCCATTACCACCTCCCACCTGGCCTTGCTTTGTGCTCCAGTTTGCTTTTATAGGCAGCCCTCAAATTACAAACAAGATAAGGTCTATAGGTTTGTTCTAAAGTTTAATTTGTATGTAAGTCAGAACAGGTACATTTTTAAAGTGTGACTCCAGCTATAGCGAATAGACTACTGCAATGCGCTCTACGTGGGGCTGCCTTTGAAGACTGTTCAAAAGCTTCAAGTAGTCCAATGGGCGACAACCAGATTTCTCACTGGAGCATACAGAGAGCATACAACTCCTTTGTTACGTCAGCTCAACTGGCTGCTAGTCTGCTACCGAGCACAATTCAAAGTCCTATAAAGCCCTAAACCAGTGGTTCTCAACCTGGGGTCCCCAGATGTTTTTGGTCTACAACTCCCAGAAATCCCAGCCAGTTTACCAGCTGTTAGGATTTCTGGGAGTTGAAGGCCAAAAATCTGGGGACACAAGGTTGAGAACCACTGCCCTAAACGGATCTGGCCCAGCTTACCAGTCCGAGCGCATCTCCCTCTATGATCCACCTCAGAGATAAAAATCTTCTGGGGAAGCCCTGCTCTCGATCCCACCTTTCCCGCCAGCGCAACTGGTGGGGATGATAAACAGGGCATTGTCAGTGGTGGCCCCTCAGTTATGGAACTCCCTAATGAAATCAGATCAGCCCCCTCACTCTTGACATTCAGGAAATGGCTAAATACATGGATCAAGCATTCGATTAGTAACTGTCAGAAATATTAAATAATTAACTAGGTACTTTTTAATTACAAAAGTGTGACCAAAGCACTGAAAGAGTATGCCGAAGCTTGTTAGAGTCATTGGACCAAAGCTAGTGTTGTCCTGAGGAGTGTGAGGTAAACCTCTGTGTGAGAGAAGCCTCTTGTGAGAAAGCTCCAGTATGAAGGTTGCTGCATGTAAAGCTACTGTGTATGTGTTTATTTTGTGCTGTGGAAACCTTGGTATTGTATGAATTGTTGAATTGCATTGTGTTCATCGAGGGTGCGTCTACACCAGGCATAGGCAAACTTGGGCCCTCCCTCCAGGTGTTTACACACAGCAGCCTTCACACTGGAGCTATCTCGCATGAGGTTTCTCTCACACAGAGGTTTACCTCACATCCCTCAGGACAACAAGTAAAACAGGCCTGGGCCAACTTGGGCCCCTCCCTCCAGGTGTTTTGGACTTCAACTCCCAACCATTCCTAACAGCCTCAGGCCCTTTCCTTCCCCCCTCAGCCGCTTAAGAGTGAGTAGGCCGAAGCCTGTTAGAGTCAGTGAGCCAAAGCTAGTGTCGTCCTGAGGAATGCGAGATAAACCTCGGTGTGAGAGAAGCCTCGTGCAAGATAGCTCCAGTGTGAAGGCTGCCGCGTGTAAAGCTACTGTGTATGTGTTTATTTGTGTTGTGGAAACCTTGTTATTGTATGAATTGTTGAATTGCATCTACACCAGGCATGGGCAAACTTGGGCCCTCCCTCCAGGTGTTTTGGACTTCAACTCCCACAATTCCTAACAACCTCAGACCCTTCCCCCCCCCCCAGCCGCTTAAGAGTTAAGTAGGCCGAAGCCTGTTATAGTCAATGAGCCAAAGCTAGTGTCGTCCTGAGGAGTGTAAGGTAAACCTCGGTGTGAGAGAAGCCTTGTGCAAGAAAGCTCCAGTGTGAAGGATGCTGCGTGTAAAGCTACTGTTTATTTGTTTATTTGTGTTGTGGAAACCTTGTTATTGTATGAATTGTTGAATTGCATTGTGTTCGTCAAGGGTGCATCTACACCGGGCATGGGCAAACTTGGGCCCCCCCTCCAGATGGACTACATCTCCCACAATTCCTAACAGCCTCAGGCCCTTTCCCTTTCCCCCTCAGCCACTTAAGAGTGAGTAGGCCAAAGCCTGTTAGAGTCAGTGAGCCAAAGCTAGTGTCGTCCTGAGGAGTGTGAGGTAAACCTCTGTGTGAGAGAAGCCTCGTGCAAGATAGCTCCCATGTGAAGGCTGAGGGGGGAAAGGAAAGGGCCTGAGGCTGTTAGGAATTGTGGGAGTTGAAGTCCTAATTATCTGGAGGGCCCAAGTTTGCCCATAGACCACTGGGCGCACAGCTATCATCTCCATAAGTTTTGTCCTCCTTGTCCAACTGCTGAAAGTAGACTTCTGAAGAGCCATCAAGACTGTTAAGGATGAAGTTACGGGCAAATGTGCAACTTGGAAGTTATGTATTTGACCTCTCCGATATAAGAATGGAGCCATGCCAGTGTTGTTCTTGATATAGACTATTCCTTCCCTTTTCTCACCTGTCTGTATTTGTTTTTCCAGAAGGGAGAGCGGATTGAAACAGGGGACCAGCTCAACTTGACCAGGGTCACCTATATGGAGACAGGGGACTATACCTGCCGGGCAGCCATACCCGACTTTCCTGGCCTCTCCCGCTCCAAATCCGTTTCCTTAGCTGTTCACGGTAAGTGCTGAAAGGAGGAGATGCCCTTCCATTCCCAGCAATGGGGCAACCCTTGGATTGACTCTCCTCTTCTTCCTCTTCTTCGCAGCAATTCCACAACTGATGCCGCAGAAGGACGTCTTGCAAGTCAAAGAGGGAGAGCTGTTGAACCTGACTTGCAGCGCCTTTTCAGTTCCGAAGCCCAAGCTGTCGTGGAGTGTAAAGAACGTCACTGTAAGTCCTTTTGCAGCTGTAAGCCACTAGGAAACCCCAAAAGTCTCAGGAAATTATAATCACTAAGTTAAAGAAAATAGAGGGAGAAAATGTGGAGGCCGTGACAGACTTTGTATTTCTAGGCTCAAAGATTACTGCAGATGCAGACTGTAGCCAGGAAATCAGAAGACGCTTACTTCTTGGGAGGAGAGCAATGTCCAGTCTCGATAAAATAGTAAAGAGTAGAGACATCAGACTGGCAACAAAGATCCGCTGCCTAGTCAAAGCCATGGTATTCCCTGTAGTCACCTACGGATGTGAGAGCTGGACCTTAGGGAAGGCTGAGCGAAGGAAGAGATGCTTTTGAATTGTGGTGTCAGAGGAAAGTGCTGAGAGTGCCTTCGGCCACAAGAAGATCCAACCAGTCGATACTTCAAGAAATAAAGCCCGACTGCTCATTGGAGGGAAGGATAGTAGAGGCCAAGATGAAGTACTTTGGCCACATCATGAGGAGACAGCAAAGCCTAGAGAAGACAATTATGCTGGGGAAAGTGGAAGGCAAAAGGAAGAGGGGCCGACCAAGGGCAAGATGGATGGATGGCATCCTTGAAGTGACTGGACTGACCTTGAAGGAGCTGGGGGTGGTGACAGCCGACAGGGAGCTCTGGCATGGGCTGGTCCAGGAGGTCACGAAGAGTCGGAGACGACTGAACGAATGAACAACAAATACACTAGTAAATTAAACATGAAAAACAATTTTAATAATAATAATAATAATAATAATAATAATAATAATAATATAAAACTTTATTTGTACCCCGCCACCACGTCCCCAAGGGACTCGGTGCGGCTTACATGAGGCCCACAATACATCAATACAAGCAATAACAACAATAATAAACAAAAAAGCAATAACAATAACAGTAATGCAACACACATTTTAAAATCTATGGCTGGGCCCAATGCAATTAAAGTTTAAAAATAATGCTAGGCATGAACAAGGTAGGAGAGATGGGGCGTTGGTGAGAGCGTACAAGCAATCCTAAATCAGTGTAAAGTGCATTTAGAGGACATAATGCTGAGGGTTCATTATTCTGGGAAGGCTCACTGGAACAACCACGTTTTCAAGCTCCTCCTAAAGACTGCCAAAGTTGGGGCATGCCTGATGTCCTTGGGGAGTGAGTGAGTTCCAGAGTCTCTCTCTCTCTTCTCTCTTCTCTCTCCTCTCTCTCTATATACCTGTGGAATGATGTCCATAGTGGGAGAAAGAATTCTTGTCTGATGGAGGCAAGTGTGAATGCTGCAATTGATGACCTCGATTAGCATTGAATAGCTTTGCAGCTTCAAACCTTGGCTACTTCCTGCCTGGGGGAAAAATTTACCTTTACTGAAAAAGGCAGTGACTAATGAACGCCACCCAGACACCAGAAGTCTCCAGGCAGCAAGCAATCCAGAGCCAGTAAACACCACCCAGGGAAAGGATGTCTCCAGGCAGCAGACAATTCAAAGAGAATGAGGCCAAGCGACTTCTATGCAGATGCCCTCACTCATAGAATCATAGAATCAAAGAGTTGGAAGAGACTCATGGGCCATCCAGTCCAACCCCCTGCCAAGAAGCAGGAATATTGCATTCAAAGCACCCCTGACAGATGGCCATCCAGCCTCTGTTTAAAAGCTTCCAAAGAAGGAGCCTCCACCACACTCCGGGGCAGAGAGTTCCACTGCTGAACGGCTCTCACAGTCAGGAAGTTCTTCCTCATGTTCAGATGGAATCTCCTCTCTTGTAGTTTGAAGCCATTGTTCCATTGCGTCCTAGTCTCCAGGGCAGCAGAAAACAAGCTTGCTCCCTCCTCCCTGTGGCTTCCTCTCACATATTTATACATGGCTATCATATCTCCTCTCAGCCTTCTCTTCTTCAGGCTAAACATGCCCAGATCCTTAAGCCGCTCCTCATAGAGCTTGTTCTCCAGACCCTTGATCATTTTAGTCGCCCTCCTCTGGACACATTCCAGCTTGTCAATATCTCTCTTGAATTGTGGTGCCCAGAATTGGACACAATATTCCAGGTGTGGTCTAACCAAAGCAGAATAGAGCATGGGTAGCATTACTTCCCTAGATCTAGACACAAGGCTCCTATTGATGCAGGCCAAAATCCCATTGGCTTTTTTTGCCGCCACATCACATTGTTGGCTCATGTTTAACTTGTTGTCCATGAGGACTCCAAGATCTTTTTCACACATACTGCTCTCGAGCCAGGCATCCCCCATTCTGTATCTTTGCATTTTCGTTGACACTCATTGACTATCCCATCTTCATGATTATTTACATGCTAATGTATGGATCCCACTCAATGCATAAGAATCTAGCTTGCTAGTTGCACCCTTTACACCTGTTTAAACAAACAATTGCTCTTTCCCCCCATCCTGGGCATTATTTCATGAGTATATATATTCCACTTGCTTTGCCACAATTGGATTAAGTTGCACACTGTGACAATAACTATAATAAGTTGTAGAATGACCGCTTTGTTCTCTCCTGGAGTTTCTTGTGCCCTTTTGATGTCTTTCCATCCAGCTCAATGTCCTTTTCCCTCTCCTCCTTGCAGAGCCACATGCATTCCCAGGCGCATCATCACAGCAGCACCCTCGTGGTCCACGTCACCAAGGCCCTCCTGGAGTCGGGGATCAATTGCTCCGTTGAGAACAGGATGGGAAGAGCCGAGCACCAGTTCAGGCTGGAGCTGAGTACGTATTTACCTTCTGACCTGAGAGCATCCAATGGTTGGGGGGGGGGGGGGGGGGGGGGGGGGGGGGGGGGAGTAGGCAGCCATTGCGTAGGAAGAGGTGGGACAAAGGGGTCTCAAGTCTCCTCCCAAGTGTCAAGGCCTATTTTCCCCAAACTCCACCACTGTTCACATTTGGGCATATTGAGTATCCGTGCCAAGTTTGGTCCAGATCCATCATGGTTTGAGTCCACAATGCTTTCTGAATGTAGGTGAACCACAACTCCAAAACTCAAGCTCACTGCCCACCAAACCCAGTATTTTCTGTTGGTCGTGGGAGTTCAGTGTGCCAAGTTTGGTTCAGTTCCATCCTTGGTGGAGTTCAGAATGCTCTTTGATTGTAGGTGAACTATAAACCCCAACAATTACAACTCGCAAATGACAAAGTCAATTCCCCCTAACCCCACCAGTATTCAAATTTGGGTATTTGTGCCAAATTTGGTCCAGTGAATGAAGATACATCCTGCATATCAGATATTTACATTATGATTCATAACAGTAGCAAATTTACAGTTACAGAAGTAGCAATGAAACTAATATGGTTGGGGGTCACCACAATATGAGGAACAGTATTAAGGGGTTGCGGCATTAGGAAGGTTGAGAAACAACTGCCATAGTCATGCTGGAGGACATAAAAGATTGAGTTTGTCATTTGGAAGTTGTAGTTGTTGGGATTTATAGTTGACATACAATCAGAGAACATTCTGAACTCCACCAATGATAGAATTGGGCCAAACTTCCCACACAGAACTCCTATGACTAATAGAAAATACTGGAAGAGTTTGGTGGGCATTGACCTTGAGTTTGGGAGTTGTAGTTCACCACAGAGCACTGTGGACTCAAACAATGATAGTTCTGGACCAAACTTGGCACAAATACCCAATATGCCCAAATGTGAACACTGGTAGAGTTTGGGGAAAATAGACCTTGACATTAGGGAATTGTAGTTGCCGGGATTTATAGTTTACCTACAATTAAAGGGGATTCTGAACCCCACCAATGATAGAATTGGGCCAAACTTCCCACATAGAGCAACAGAAAATACTGATGGACTTTGGCAACCAGTCTGGCACCCCTTTGCAACCCTCTCAGGATTCCCGACACCTAACAATGATGGATCTGGACCAAACTTGGCATGAATACCCAATATGTCCAAATGTGAACACTGGTGGAGTTTGGGAGAAATAGACTTTGACATCATAAGTGTAATTTTGCTACTGTTATGAATCTTAATGTAAATATCGGATATGCTGGATGGATTTTCATTCACTGGACACAAACACCAGATATGCCCAAATTTGAATACTGGGGGAGAGGGGGTTGGAGGGGGATTGATTTTGTCACTTGGGAGTTGTAGTGGCTGGGATTTATAGTTCACCTACAATCAAGGAGCATTCCGAACCCCATCAATGATATAATTGGGTCGAACTTCCCATACAGAACCCCCATGAGCAACAGAAAAAAAACCTGTTTTTTCTGATGGTCTTTGGTGACCCTCCAGTACCCCCCTCATGACCCTCAGGTTGAGAAATCCCGGTATATGGTCAAGTTGACCACAAAATTGCATTGGGGAACCTAGAGATTCCTGGAGAGAAGGCTTCCTTCCCTAAGCATTTGCTCCATGATTCTGTAGAGTAGCCAGATGTTCCTAAACATATTTTATCTCATTTTTCAAAAATCACTTTTTTCTTAATTTCATTGAAGTCTTGTACTTCTTACTATTACAACATTGAGAGCTTGCTGTAGTTCAATCAACATTAGGATGTAGCCAAACAAAGTCCCGACCATATAATTTATGTCTATCTCTGTCTGTCTCTCTCTCTCTTTTGCAGGGCCAGACGTGGTGAAGCCTGATAACAAAAGTGGTAAGTTACTCCATATGTTTCCGATTCACGAAAAAACTAACGCACACAATCCTGGTATCCATAGTAGAAGGTCTTTTTGGGAAGTAATAGACCGTATGCTGAGAGAATACCTCTTTAGGAATCCCTGGGACCTTGAGGATGATGATATGATCAACTTCTGGTCATAGAATTTCACTGAAGGACCTACAACAGGCATGGGCCAACTTTGGACCCTCCAGATGTTTTGGACTTTCCTAACAGCCTCAGGCCCTTTCCCGCTCAGTGACTTAAGAGTGAGAAGGCCGAAGCCTGTTAAGAGTCAGTGGGCCAAAGCTAGTGTCGTCCTGAGGAGTGTGAGATAAACCTCTGTGTGAGAAAAGCCCTGTGTGAGAAAACTCCACTGTGAAGGCTGCTGTGTGTAAAGCTTCTGTGTATTTCTTTATTTGTGTTGGGGAAACCTTGTTATTGTATGAGTTGTTGAATGCATTGTGTTTGTCAAGGGTGCATCTATACCAGGCATGGGCAAATGGGCCCTCCCTCCAGATGTCTTGGATTACAACTCCCACAATTCCTAACAGCTTCAGACCTTTTCCTTTTCCCCTTCAGCCATTTAAGAGTGAGTAGGTTGAATCCTGTTAAGAGTCAGTGGGCCAAAGCTAGTGTCGTCCTGAGGAGTGTGAGGTAAACCTCTGTGTGAGAGACGTCTCGTGCGAGAAAGTTCCAGTGTGAAGGCTGTTGTGTGTAGAGCTACTGTGCATTTGTTTATTTGTGTTGTGGAAACCTTGTTATTGTATGAATTGTTGAATGCATTGTGTTTGTCAAGGGTGCATCTACACGGGGCATGGGCAAACTTGGGCCCTCCCTCCAGATGTTTTGGACTTCAACTCCCACCATTCCTAACAGCCTCAGGCCCTTTCCTTTTCCCCCTCAGCCGCTTAAGAGTGAGTAGGCCGAAGCCTGTTCGAGTCAGTGGGCCAAAGCTAGTGTCGTCCTGGGGAGTGTGAGGTAAACCTCTGTGTGAGAGAAGCCTCATGCGAGATAGCTCCAGTGTGAAGGCTGCTGTGTGTAGAGCTACTGTGTATGTGTTTATTTGTGTTGTGGAAACCTTGTTATTGTATGCATTGTTGAATTGCGTCTGCACCACACCTGGGCAAACTTGGGCGCTCCCTCCAGATGTCTTGGACTTCAATTCCTAACAGCCCCAGACCCTTTCCTTTCCCCCTCAGCCACTTAAAAGTGAGTAGGCCGAAGTCTGTTAGAGTCAGTGGGCCAAAGCTAGTGTCGTCCTGAAGAATGTCAGGTAAACCTCAGTGAGAGAGAATCCTCATGCGAGATACTCCAGTGTGAAGGCTGCTGTGTGTAGAGCTACTGTGTATTTGTTTATTTGTGTTATGGAAACCTTGTGATTGTATGAATTGTTGAATTGCATCTACACCGGGCATGGGCAAACTTGGGCCCTCCCTCCAGATGTTTTGGACTACATTTCCCACAATTCATAACGGCCTCAGGCCCTTTCCTTTTCCCCATCAGCCGTTTAAGAGTGAGTAGGCCGAAGCCTGTTAAGAGTCAGTGGGCCAAAGCTAGTGTCATCCTGAGGATTGTGAGATAAACCTCTGTGTGAGAAAAGCCTTGTACGAGAAAACTCCACTGTGAAGGCTGCTGTGTGTAAAGCTACTGTGTATTTGTTTATTTGTGTTGGCTGAGGGGAAAAGGAAAGGGTCTGAGGCTGTTAGGAATGGTGGGAGTTGAAGTCCAAAACATCTGGAAGGTCCAAATACCTGACCTAGAGCCTTCCAGTATGATTCTGGCCAGCCAGTGCTCTGCTAACCCCTTTGGCCCCCTCTTCTCCTTCTGTTTTGCCTGCCCCAATTTGCCAGGGAATGCTACTTCTGAATGGGAGGAGGAAGGGACAACCAGAAGCAGCCCAAAGACAGGTATCTCTGCTTCACTTCTTCTGGAACAGCCTCCGAGCGAGGCTCCTTTCCTTGTTTGGATCCGCGCTTGCTCTTCCTGCCCTTTGTTTGGCCACACTGCGTGCTCAGAGGCAAAGGCTGTGGGCAATCGGAGATATGTGTGCGCTTTTTCAACAGGATTGCACCAAAGCAGTTTTCAGTTTGCACCCAGCAGAGCTATTGCCCGAAGCCAAAACAATGCGCTTTTGGCATAGTTTGGTTTTCTTTCCCCATTTTGGAAAAAGAAAGAGGTTGCAAGCTGTGTGCTACCTGTAGTGTGTTTTTGAATCGCCAGTTGCTGGAGAGCTGTGTTGCTTTTTATGTTCTGCCTGTGGGATCAATGGGCCGTGAACAAGACACTACTCAATTTAGATAATCATCATCATCATCATCATCTTGCAAAGAATCTGGTACAAGCCAGTCAAGGTGGTCCCATTCGTGATTAGTACACTGGGCGCAGTGCCTAAAGACCTTGGCCTGCACTTAAAAACAATCGACGCTAACAAAATTACCACCTGTCAGCTGCAAAAGGCTAGCCTGCTCAGATCTGCACACATTATTCACCAATACATCACAAAGTCCTAGACACTTGGGAAGTGTCTACACATGTGATCGAATAAAAAAGCCAGTGATGATGATTATGATAATAATAATTATCATCATCATCATCTTGCAAAGACTTTGGTACAAGCCAGTCAAGGTGGTCCCATTCCTGATTGGCACACTGGGCGCAGTGCCTAAAGACCTTGGCCTGCACTTAAAAACAATCAGCACTGACAAAATTACCATCTGTCAATTACAAAAGACCATCTTGCTCAGATATGCATGCATTATTCACCAATACATCCCACAGTCCTAGACACTTGAGAATTGTGTACACATGTTATCGAATACAAAAGCCAGCGATGATTATGATAATAATAATAATAATAATAATAATAATAATAATAATCTTGCAAAACTCTGGTACAAGCCAGTCAAGGTGGTCCCATTGGTGATTGGCACCCTGGGTGCAGTGCCTAAAGACCTTGGCCTGCACTTAAAAACAATCAGCACTGACAAAATTACCACCTGTCAGCTGCAAAAGGCCAGCCTGCTCAGATCTGCATGCATTATTCACCAATACATCCCACAGTCCTAGACACTTGGGAAGTGTCTACACATGTGATCGAATAAAAAAGCCAGTGATGATGATTATGATGATGATAATAATAATAATCATCATCATCATCATCATCATCATCATCTTGCAAAACTCTGGTACAAGCCAGTCAAGGTGGTCCCATTGGTGATTGGCACCCTGGGTACAGTGCCTAAAGACCTTGGCCTGCACTTAAAAACAATCAGCACTGACAAAATTACCACTTGTCAACTACAAAAGGCCAGCCTGCTCAGATCATAGAATCATAGAATCAAAGATTTAGAAGAGACCTCATGGGCCATCCAGTCCAACCCCATTCTGCCAAGAAGCAGGAATATTGCATTCAAATCACCCCTGACAGATGTCCATCCAGCCTCTGTTTAAAAGTTTCCAAAGAAGGGGCCTCCACCACACTGCACACATTATTCACCAATACATCACACAGTCCTAGACACTTGGGAAGTGTGTACACGTCTGATAGAATACAGAAGCCAGCATAGTGATCTTGTTTACTGTGTACTAATCTTGTTGTATATCAAATAATAACAACTATTATTATTATTATTATTATTATTATTATTATTATTATTATTATTATTATTCTGCCCTATCTCCCTGACGGTACTCAGAGTAGATTGCAGTATATATACAAATACAAACACAGGCAAGCGTTCAATGAGACAGAAATTCACAGACAAAGGCAAAGGCTTCCCCTTTCATCTGGAGGTGGTGCTCAGCTCTGGCTCTGGGAGAGGTATTCATCTCCATTTCCAAGCCAAGGAGCCTGCATTGTCTGTTGACGCCTCCTGGTTATGTGGCTGGCATGATAGCTTGGAGCGCCTGTTTGCCTTCCCGCTGTGGCGGTACCTAATGATGTACTCACATTTGTATGTTTTCAAACTGCTAGGCTGGCAGGAGCTGGGGCTAACAGTGGGAGCTCACCCCGACCCATGGATTCGAAATGCCAACCGTCATGTCAACAAGTTCAGTGGCTCAGTGGTACAATGGGTTAAACCCTTGTGTTGGCAGGACTGCTGACCAAAAGGTCAGTGGTTTGAATCCAGGGAGCAGGATGAGCTCCAATCTGTCAGCTCCAGCTGAGAAGCTGGAGCTGACAGATGGGAGCTCACCCTGCTCCCTGGATGTGGGGACATAAGAGACGCATCCCATAGGGTGATGATACATCTGGGCATCCCCAGGGCAACGTCCTTGCAGACGACCAATTATCTCACACCAGAAGCGACTTGCAGTTTCTCAAGTCGCTCCTGACACACACACACACACACACACACACAAATGTGGCCCCTTTGGCTTGATGGTTAAAGGTTGGTTTAAAGCTAGGAAAGCTACCGCATTGACCTGAGCTTTGGTTTGCTGTCCAAGAAGCTGTTGCTGTGTGCATTATCCTAAGTAGAAATGGGCAAAGGGCGCATCCTGGGAGTTGTAGGTTTACATGACATTCTCTGCCAAAGAGTGATGGTCCCTCACCAAACTACAACTCCCAGGATCTCATTGCGTTGAGCCATGGCAGTTAAAGTGTCAGACTGCATTCCTTCTGCAGTGTAAACACACCCAAAGTTGACCTTTCTTTGCAGCTTGAGCTTGCTACACTGAGCCATATGTAGAAATGGGCAAAGGGTGCATCTTGGGAGTTGTAGTTTTACAAGACATTCTCTGCCAAAGAGTGACAGTCCCTCATCAAACTACAACTCCCAGGATCTCATTGTGTTGAGCCATGGCAGTTAAAATGTCAAACTGCATTCCTTCTGCAGGGTAAACATACCCAAAGTTGACCTTAGCTTTGCAGCTTGAGCTTGCTACACTGAGCCTTATATATGAGGAAAATAAAATAGATGTAATCTTTGCTTTGTGTTGTCGAAGGCTTTCATACCCAGAATCACTGGGTTGCTGTGAGTTTTCAGGGCTGT